TTAAGACCTATTTATCCTCTTTCTTCCTATAATGACAACGTTAATTCTTGAATTTTCAGCATGAGTTGCTTCGTGTGCTATATCCAGTGTTTATCCATTGTTTCATGGATCTTGTGGCTAAAGGACACATTCAAGAAGGTTTGCAAATTAATATCTTTCTTGATGGTCTCATGTAATGGTGGTAAATATGATCAATTTTATATTATTTTGCTTGATATCTGCCAGCTCGAACCTTTTTCAATAGATTCCGGGAAGATCATGAAATGATGCATCTGCGAGATCTACAAAAGTTGGAAGGCGTACTTTCTCCCTCTCATTTGGAGGTTTGTTGTTAACCAGTAATGGCATTCTTATGTTTCTACCATTATTTAGTGAGGACGGTATTGTTTTTGACACCATGTTGATAATATATTCCAGGAGATGGAATTCGCTCATTCTCTTAGGCAGAGCAAAGTCACCATAAAAATTTGCCAGGTAATTCCTAGGTTATTGATGAGTATGTAATAGCATGTTTGATTATCATGTGTTTGCTCTCAGATCGATCGTGAAGAGAACTGAATTAATCAACTGTATGTTCTGAAAAGTTTTATTTTCAATTATGTTGTTTAGTACTCCTATGAGATGCTACTTCAATATCTTCATAAGACCCAAACCACAGTGATACTTGGGATTATCAATGAACGCATCAATTTCCAAGGTCTGTTGCTTTTTCATACTTGCTTCACATTGTTTAATTTACTATTATTATTTAAACGCAAGCTGTAGGTGCTTTCGGACTCTGTTATAAGCCCCATCTGGTTTTTTCAGTTTTCCCTGGTCAGCCTAGCTCAATATCGGATGATGCTGAAATTGTGACACTCACTGGAGGCACCCAGGACACTGCCAATCAGATAAATCAAAAAGAAGTCCAATGGGGGGTGCGTTAGCAAAGCTACAAAGCTTACTAAGCCTACAAAGTTCTATCTTTCTGGATGATTATTATTTTGCTTGGTTGTTGCTTTCGCTTTTAGTATTTTGTTGATAAGCGGCATAAGCCTACAATCTGCAATTTTCTCTGAAAGAAGAAAAACTTATGTCAATATATAAATAACAGCAACTTTCTGTAAGTGCTGTTTATGATTTTTCTTTTCTCCCCTTTTCCTTTCTTTCTTCTGGAAGAAGTTTGAATACTTGCTGATTGGTATTCTCTTCAATTTCAGTTCCCTTTTCTTTTCTTTATAATAGATTAGGATGAGTTTAATGGTGAATTTGAGGAAGAATAGTTTAGTCAGTTGAGACCAGTGGCAAATAATTTCAACAAATATTTTTATAGTTTTCTTTTGTTGCATATACCTTATTAGTTATTGATTGTTAGATTTAAAATTATGTTGGTAATAGTTACTTGAAGATTCTTTGGAAGAACGCTTGGAGAAAGCTGCTGGTTTGCTTTCAGATTCTGAAAAGGCTGAGGGGGAAACCAAGGATGGCGATATAGATGAGAATAAGGTATTTGTGTTGATTCAATGCTTCTTATCTTTTATGGAGATACTCTCCTTTTATCTATTACTTGTTATAAATCCCCTGATGCTATTTTATAAATCTGCATTGTATTGTTTATTATTGTCCAACTTCATGATTTTCATGCCATCATTTGCTTGTTTAGAAAAGAACAACCGAGGGAGGAAAGCAAGGCGCTTCAGTTAAAAAGGTCAAGAAGGACAAGACTTCCAGTGCAACTGGGAAAACTCCAAGGGCTGAAGCTAATCCTGCATCTATGACACCACGAGTGAAGCCAGAGCTTGCTTTACCCACAATGTATTTTCTCAAATCCTGTATTATTTTATTTTTCTGTTACAGGTATAATATGTAGCTCTTAGCTAAGTGATTACTGGACTAATACAGCCTCACTGCTCCTCTTTGTATGCGTTAGTGTATGTTATCATCCAGGGGAATGATGTACCCAATATTAGCTTTTTTTTTCCAGCTTTTGTTAGATGTTATGGGAGGGATTAGTTCATGATCTGATTGTGGTTATCACATCATATAAAGGCCAGGTCAAACTAAGTTGTTGTCTTGTCTGAGATTGAAGCAGTGATAGATGTCAGAGGGAAAGATATAGGATTGGTTCTTTGATGAAGATGGGTAAACAGTAACAGTATCAATTATTCTTGCTATTGATTCATCTTGTTGGTTGCTTTCAGTTCAACAGAGGTGGAACAATCTATTCTAGAAGATTTGAGAAACCGTGTGCAGTTGAGTTCTGTTGCTCTGCCATCAGTCAGCTTTTATACCTTCATTAATACACACAATAGGTATCTATATAGTTTCCTTCCAGTTTCTGTTAACAGTTCATCGGGTCTCAATGTGCATGCAGTTGATATCATTGATTCTGATGTAGTTTAAACTGTTCATCAATATCGCATGATGGAGCTTTAGTTGCTGGTGGATTTTCAGACTCTTCTTTGAAGGTAGGTATTCTCTTTAAGTTACTTAAGATGAACTAATTAATGGTTCCTCAATTCCGACATTGGTGGGTTTCTCTGCAGGTCTGGGACATGGCAAAGCTAGGACAACAAGCTGGCAGTAGTAAGTCTATTAAATAAGTTAGGATACCATGGGATGGTTTGATTGTTTATGGCTTTTAGTTTGTAATATTTTACTGTTAATATATTTTTCTTTTGAGAAAAATTATATCTAAACCTTTTCATGCATGCTTCCAATCATGCGATCAAACAGTAGGCAGGGGCTTTGGAACACAGATTAATTTTGTTACTAAAGGCCTTTTTGTTATCCTAGAAAATTGGTGTAGATTTTTTTATTACAAACTTATGCTCAAATGTCAAGTTTGTATGCATTACTAAAGTTATCATACTGTTTAACGTATAGATATTGGTGATTGGTGTGTACTCTTTATGTAAAAGAAATATAAGTAGGGCATTTTCTGGCTGTTGATAATAAGATGAACAGAAGTTGTATAAAGTTTTATGGTGCTTCTTTTGGTGTCATATTAATTTCCCATTGATGGATTCCCCTTCCACCATCTTTCTTAATTCTTGAAGAACTTCTTATATCCTATTTCTGGATAATTGATCATCTTCTCCGTGTACCAATTTTGAATCAATTATTTACCATTCTCCTTTCCCAAATTTCATCCATCAGTTGGAAAAGCTTGCTTTCTCTTGGTGCCATATTTTTCATCATTAGTTTTTTTTTTCCTTCCTGTTGCTCAGATACTGTGGAAGGGAATTTGACCTTTACCATCACCTCTTCAGCTGTTTTGCAGGATGAAAATGACATGTCTACTAGTGATCAAATGACAGGCAATACAAGTGGGAAGAGATCTTATACATTATTTCAAGGTCATTCTGGGCCTGTTCACTCTGCCACTTTCAGTCCTGCTGGGGATTTTGTTCTTTCCTCCTCTGCAGACACGACTAGTATGATCATAATGGCACTTCTGTTTCTTTTTTGCTTGGTTATTGTTTGCTTTCTTGAGGTTATCAATTAACCTGTTGCCCTGTTACAGTTCGATTATGGAGCACAAAACTAAATGCCAATCTTGTTTGCTACAAAGGTCACAATTACCCTGTATGGGATGTTCAGGTAAATATTTTATCAATTTTCTGGTGCTCTTTCACTATCTAGTTGCCACTACATTTGGTCTTTACTCTTAACTTGATTTTGCAACATTTTTGGTGCCATCATATCGGAGACGCTGTTTATGATCCTACTAAAACGAAACTATGATTGGTGCCATCATATCTGTTTGTTGATGATCTGCAACATAGTAACTATTTCTTAAGAGAGAGAAAAAGAAACTAAAACGAAAGAAATGAAACCAAGCCATTCGTAAAAGAAGTGAAATCATGAGTATTGGATAAGGAATCTGAGTATCTGACTAGTGAGCGGTCCATGCAGATTT